CTTACCCAAAGCTCCCTTCTATTTGATTTGGTGGCACCTTCAAGAAAGTTCCACATATCATTCAGCACATGCTTGAGCTCCTACACTCTGCTTGGCATCGTGAAAAGTCCCTGAGATACAAGCATACATATGAAATAGTCTCTATCCTTAGTATTTTCCAGTTTAGTATGAACATATTTCATTTTTCAGAAGTCAGTTCTAATTAAACTTGCATTGAGGAGTCGTTCAGAATTCTTCCTAGCAGTATGGATCCATGCAGCAACAAATCACCACTGTGACAAATCAGTCACCAGCTGTGCTCTCAGACTTTCATGGGGCCTCATATTGACTAAGGTAAGGCCAAAAATAAAGAGCTTTCCTGGAAAAAACTAAAAGTAATCCAAGGCTCACTTGCTTGCAACCCCTTCCCAGACATCCCAACCATACTCCAGCATTTCTTTGCTATCCATATTAAAACAAGAGTATACCATGGAGCCAATTTGGACTCCTCTGTAGTGAATTAAAAATGTACTTTTGCCTTCTTGAGGTGGGGCAAAACCTTTTGAAAGAGGGCACTCCCAAGGGACAGCCTTCCTCTTCTGTGTGCACACAGGTCTCATTTTAGAGTGATTCCAGGACTCTCAAAGGTGCTGTATAGGGTCTGGCTTCAATAGTCAGAGGAAGATTGGATGTACAACATCCCTCTAGACAGCCTGCTCTGAAGACAATCTGGAACACAACAGCTATTATTAAATCTTCTATAAAGTACTCCATGATATTTGATGCATTTAGAATGCAAAGCATGAAAGCAAAGCCAAATAAATGTACAACAGGAAAACATGCTCCAGTGAAGGAAAATCAACATCATCCAGTTTCTAGTCTTGCCAGATGCAAAGTAACAGCAAGACTGGCCCAGCCATTGGTGGGCCTCTGCTGCCCCCACGTGGCTGAAGTCCTCCTCTGACAAAGCAGCCAGGATTCAAGTGTAGAGAGAGGTGATTTCTAGAGGAATGGAGTGGATGAATGGATGAAAAGAGATAGGTGGATTCGTTTATTTACACATTCATTTAATAAGTATTAATTTCAACCATTTTCCAAAGCACTGGACCAACTGCTGTTAGGAAGTGACATCTGAGCTCTGAGAGGGGAAAGTGCACTGATGTTAAGTAAGCCAGGGCGCTCACCATGTCTCCCCTGTACATTGCTCCCAGGAGAATATGGGGTGGTCAGTGGGGAACCTGTGATGATGAGGGCAGAACTTCCCAAACATGCTTCTTCCCCTTGAATGGTGAAGCTGTCTCTGGATAAGCACACCCTATAACTCAAATCTACTGGGTCAGTAGGAGAAAGGATAAAAGGCAGTAGATGTGGGACTTAGATTTGTACTGGAAGAAGTATAGTGAAAGGCAGGCTATACGTTCTGTTTGGGTAGTGAATTCGCCACTTTAAAAATACTCCAGTGCAGTCAGTAAGGGAAAGCACAAGGCATAATATGCATATTTCTACTACTGTTCCCCTCTTCCCTCAACACCTAGGTTTTGTAAAAAGTTACTGTTTGAATTACATTAGCAATATATAACATAATCTTGTTTGAAAAAATTCAATGAATAAGAAAATAGAGTGAAAAGTAAGATTCTCCCCTCAAAATCCACTATTCTCCCCCAATCCCATTTCTCTTCCTAGAAACAAGCACCATTATCAACTTGCTGTGCTTCCTTCCAGAATGATTTCTGATGAAGTCATGTAAATAAATAATAGTACTATGATTTTAAATAAATTGAAAATATGCATTTTTCTTCACTTTGGTTTTTCACTCAACACTGTATTTTGGAGATTTTTAAGTGCTAGTATATAGATCAGAATTCTTAGACTTAAAACTTATTCTTTGTAAATAGAATTCCACAGTAAAAATATACCTTGCCTGTTTCACCATTTCTTTTTTGATAGTTCACAAGATGAAAGCTCCTAACTAAGGTCTTTCTGGATTTCTACAACCAAGCAAACAAGCAAAAACAACAACAAGAAAAAAATCCAAGCCTAAACCTAATAAAACAGACAAAACAAACATCCTCCTTGACTCTCATTTGCAGACCCTCAGTGAATTCCCAGACCTGAGCATATTTACAAATCCAGAATCTCACAGGAAAGCCAGGAACTCTCAAGAGAGAATTCAGTAGTAACATCACAAATATGCATTACGATTTTTTAGTCCCTGTCTTCTGCAAAGGGACTAGTGGTCATCAACAGATAAATCTGCCCTAAAGAGGAAAGTCCCAGTCCTCAGCTAACACCTGGAGATCCAGAATATCACAGTAGATCACTGATTAGAGTGGGGTGGAGAGATCAAAGGAATTTTAACCTGAGTCCACCTCACACCCACAGACTGTTACTCCAATACCCTCCCTACTAAATCCAAATAGCACAACAGAAGCCATATGAATCCCTGAAGACTAACTATAATCAGAGATCTGAAGATACATTTAACCTGCCAATCCAGTTGGTTGCTAAAGAAGACTGCTGTTTATAAACTCAATAAAGTAGTGCAGCCAGCTGCAAGCACTTTTCCCCATGTGGTCCCTTTGGACAGACAAGTCAAGAGGCTCTTGTTTGTACCTATTTCTTAGGCAAACGCTGTACCCCTTCTATATCCAATAACAACCCTTTTTTATCTTACAGGATCTGTGGGTCAGGAATCTGGACATAGCTTAGCTGGGTGCCCCTGGCTCTGGATCTTTCAGGAGGCTGCAGTCCAGATGTCAGTTGGGTCATGGTCATCTCCAGACATGCCTGGAAAGATCTACTCCAAGTTCACTCATGTGCTTGGTGTCAAGTCACAGGTGATCACTGGTTGTTGGATGGGGATGTTAGTTCCTTGTCATATGGGTCCCTCCCCAGAGCAGCTCATACCATGGCAGCTAGCTTCCCTCACAGTGAGTCAGAGTGAAAAGGTATGTTCAAGATGGGAGCCATAGTCCTTTTGTCTCCTAATCTCCAAAGTGATGTCCCATCATCTTTTGTATTCTTAGACTAAAGTTACTAGGTCAACACATACTCAGCTAAGATTCAATGAGCACTTTCTACATGCTACTGTATAGCCATATACTCGGCTTCCTTCTGGGCTAAGTTCCAGGCCTGCCTGATGTCAGAGGTCCCCAGTTGGCCAGCAGGTGAACAGTCCATCTGATCTAGCTATAGGTGGGCAGCCCTCAGGTAAGCAGATTTGGTATCTGGTGGGAGCCCTTCTCCCACTATATATACTTCATCTCCATGTGTCCTCACACAGAGGCAAGACTGAGGGAGCTGTCTATCCCCAAGACTTAATCACGCCTCAAACATAGCATCTCATACTCATCATACCAAGTTAGGAGGCTAGGATTTCAACATGTGAATGAGAGAAGGACACAAACATTCAGTCCGTAACTCTACCATTCTCTTAATTTGTACTTTGATTGTCTTTATCGTATAGATTATGGCTATCTTAGGACATTAAGTTTCTCCTATGAATTTATATTATGTAATTTATACCAGAGTGTTTATATTAACATTTTTGTTACATATTTCAAGTTGCTTTCCAAATAGTTGCAACTGTTGGATTCTAGCATGTCACTATATTTGGATGAAGCACTGGTAGAGCACATTGAAGACTCACGCACCAACCTCAAAAAAGTTGCCTGTACTGTGCTAGCTGTCACCATTTTATCACCTCTTACTCATCCCTCGACTCACTGAGGCTGGCTTCTGCCCAAATCACTCCACTGAAACTGCGTCTGTCAGGGCTTTTGTTGCTAAATCTACTTCTAAAAAGCATCTGACAGTCTGAGACAACTTTCTCCATGAAGCTTTTCTGCTTTTCTGGCTTTCCTCTCTGGTTTTGGTCCCTGGTGCTGGTCCATCCTGTTCTCTCTAGCCTGTCCATGTTTCCTGGGATTCTATTCCAGGTCCAATGGTCTTCTGGTCTAAACAGTCTCCTCAGACAATATCATCTATTCCCACTTCTACATGCTGATATCCCATATTCATCTGCTCACTGCACAGGGCACTCTGGGAGAAGGCCCCAAGCCCACCTCACTATACCAATGTTGAAAATGAAACTCATCATCTTCTTCCACCCCTATAAATGTTCCCCATCTCAGTAAACTGCTCCACCACATACCTAGATGCTCAAGCCAGAAATTGGGGCATCACTTCCTCCTCCCTCACTCCACACTTCAAACAATTTCCTAATTCGGTTGATTTTAGCCCTAAAAGTCTCTCCAATCTGTCCATATGTCCCTTGTTCTTTGCCATCACAAGTCCAAGCCCCCATCAGCCCATGCCTAGATTACTGCAACATTCTAGCTTGCTCTGTCCTCTGGTCTTGATTCCCTCCAATCCATTCTTGATGCTTCAAGGAGAGTGACCTTTGAAATGGACACCTCATCACCATCTACCCCAGTATAAAACTCAGCAGGAAGTCCCTACCAGACAAAAATCCAAGCTCCCTTGCTTCCCAAGGCACAGATATGAGTATATATGAATTTTTACAAATAATCATACAGTAAAGTGGATTTTTGGTGTACAATTCTACAAAATTTAACACATTAGTTAACCACTATCAACCCGCAAACTTTCCTCATGTTATTTCCTTCTAGTTACACCTTCCCCCAACTCTAGCTTCTCAAAACTGTCAATGAAATAGGATATAATTCTTTAAAAACTAAAACAGAAGAACAACTCAGGGCCCTTCAAAGTGTCTTTAATGTCACTGCCTATCTCTCACCTCCAAAATCTGTCTAGCCACGCAACTAGCCCGAACTGCGTTCAGTTCTTGGGGAGCTCCAAGGTTTCCTCCATTCTGCTTGTCTATGACCCCAGCATGGAACGAGCCCCCTACACGGCCGGTTCTAGCTCCTGCAACAGCTAGCCGTCGAGGTAATCTCATTCAGCAAGCGCGCGGGGGGGGGGGGGGACACGCGCATGCGCCGCCTCTCGCGCCTACCCCCACCTCCACCCCCACCCCGTTCTCGACCTGTGGGCTTCGACCATTTCCAGGCGCCCCAGGCCCTGAGGTGGGTCGGTCGGCAGCGGACACCCTCCCCTTTCTACCCTGAGGTACCCGGCTTGGTGGGCCCAGGATGTTCCCGTCCAATGGCGGAGTGGTGCGGACAACGCCTATGAAGTCCGTAGTCCTTCTAGTCGCGCTGTTGCTATGGCCTGCGTCCGCGCGGGCGTTTCCGGCATCCCGGAGTAAGTGACCGGTCTGCCCCGACCCGGGGCACAGCCTGAGAGTTCCGTGCCGTCCTGAGTCCCACAGTTTTCACGCGCCTACCCAGGGTGTTGGCCTTGCATGTCCCTCTGTCACACATCTGCGCCGCCGCCCAGGGGACACTTTTCCTGTCTCACCCTAGTTCGCTGCCTGGCATTCTCTGTCCAGGACGTAAAGCAGGAAGTGCATACTGCAGCCCAGATTTGCCTGCTTTTGTATGACTGGCCTACTGACACTGGTTATGACCTTTTGCTTCCCACTGAAAATTGAACCCAGGGCCTTTGCTCTGAGCCACATCCCCAGCCCTTTAGTCTTTGAGACAAGGTCTCGCTGTCATTAAGTCGCCAGGCTAGGTTCCAACTCGTGATCCTCCTGCCTCAGCTTTCCAGAGTGCTGGATTTACAAGCGTGCACCACCACGCCTGGCGACATTTAAAAAAATGTAAATATGAAATGTACTCCTTTCATAATATGTGAAAGAGTATGAAATTTTTCTCTGCTCATAAAGTTTTATTAGAACACAGCTATGGCCATTCCTTTATATATTGGGCATGGCTGCTTTATAATATGTAGCAGTTAAGTGATTGTTTTGCAGGGTAAGGCTTGCAAAGTTTAAAATATTTGCTATCTGACCCTTGATCCCTGTGGTAAAAGTTACAGAGCACATGGGACCGTGGGCAGCTGTCTGGGTCACTCACTGACCTGAGGATGCAGCTTCTTAAAGCAGACTTGGATGCAAGGACTCAAAGCTTGGTTAAGCAGAATTCTATGATTCCCAAGGAATTCTTTTGTTCCCTTCAATAGCTGAAACCCAGTAAGGTTAAATTCAGCAATGCTGAGACATATTGACAGCACCATGTAGACATCTTGAGACACATGTAAGTACCGTATCTGAGGTGGGTGTGAGGTTTGTCTTTCTGGTCTAACTGCAATTCACTGTGGCATTTAATATTGTTGGAGCTTGTTTTAACCAAGTCAATCAGTAAAATTTAACAAGCAGGTGTGAAAAAAGTGTACTAATTATGCAGTCATACTTTAGAATTGTTAAAATGTCTTAGTTGATCTGATCATGCTGTCTCGCTCTATAATCCCAAATGCTATACTCAGAAGGCTAAGGCAAAAGGTTTGCAAATTCGAGGACAGTCTGAGCAACTTGGGGACAGGCTGTTTCAAAAGAAAAAAAGGGCAGGGGCCTGGGGATGTAGCTCAGTGGTAACGTGCTTACCTAACATGTAGAAGGCCCTGGGTTCAATCCCCATAGAGAAAAAAAGAAAATACAGTTAAAAATTAGATTCAAGAGCCAGGCATGGTGGCGCACACCTGTAATCCCAGCACTTGAGAGGCTGAAGCAGGAAGATTGCCATGAATTCAAGGCCAGCCTGGGCTACATAGTGAGTTCAAGGCCAACCCCTTCTACATAGCGAGACCCTATCTCAAAAAAAAAGAAAAGAAAAGAAAAAACACAACACAACCTTAAATTATCATGAACATCAGTGGGAAAAGTTCTGCATAAAGTATCTAGATAACAGAAGTTATCCCTTTCAATACTACACTTAAGATTTTTTTTTAAGCTGTTTTTAATAAAAATCTTTATAAAATTTTTCTTCTTTGACATAAAGGACCAAAAACACAATGAAGATGACATTATCTTTTCTTGATATTTGATTATCTTTATTACTAACAGCAGTTTATTGCGTTTTGGGAGTGGTAGAGCCAAGGGTCACAAGTGACATACAGAGGGACTTTCACTGAAATGACATTAATCCTGCCTGGGACTGTTACCCAGCAGCCCCTGGATACTTATTGCCCTGCAGTCTCTGCCTAATTCCACAATTTTGACCTGTTTTCTTTGTACCTTTCTCCCTGAACTTTCTTAAGGCTTTTAGGAAAGGAAAAGACATTTGTCAGAAATAAGGAATGGCTTTGTGTTGAGTACATAGATGATATAAAACATAAATATATACAGGTTATGAATAATAGAAGATATCTTGAAACTGTAATTTACTTCTTTTTCGTAGAAACAGATTAAGAGATGAAGGGCAGTGTTACATGACTACTTTCTCTGTATCTGTCTTTCATATTTTCTTCTAATTTTTTTAAAATTTAAAAAATATACCAAAGAAAACCGGGCTTATTTCAGTGGATTTGATTTAAATCAGTTATGTATTTTATTGAGGCACTACTAAAACAACTCTTGGCAAGAGAAACAAATAAAAAATGTTCTCTCATTCCAGAGATAAGGCACAGAGGTTTTTCTAATGGAAAGTGAAGCCCTGATGAATTTTTCTAGGCTACTAAGACAGTTTTGAGGTTATCTTATTCAAAGACCACAGGCATTTAAGTAAATACATTTGTTGAAAGCTTCAGTACCATTTTAATCTAAATTCAGCTTGACAGGAGGGAGGCCTGGGTATGTAGAAGGCTACACTTCCTTACATACACATACATCCTGATGGTGCTGGATAAATATACTATATACTTAATTTTTTATACATTCAGTTAGTTTCCTTTTAGAATTACTACTTAATTCTAAAGTAACATATTAGTTATATATTCAAATAATATTAATATTACTGAAATTATATAATTTGCATTTTATAATTTGTCACTAAATATTCATAGCTACAAATACAAGACTGTGAAATGTTAGTTTTGGGAAGGTTTGTGTATCTCATGAATAAATTCCTCTTTTCCAGGTCACCTCATTGTACAGATGAGCAAAAATAGAGTTAATGGCACAGATTTTAGTCCAGGGTGACAAAACCTCTTCACCAACTTCCCTAGATTGGTATTAAAAGGAAGCTCCATGTGTGAGTCTTTGGTCTCTGTCCTTGTCTTTACAAAGGACTTTGTCCTAATGAACCAAAAAAGGCAAAGGTGGTGTTAAAGTAGCAACCAGCAAGAGTTGTTCAAATCTATCACCAAATTGACCAAAAGGAAAAGTGGTTTATTTTAGTACCTTTAAAGGTAGAGCTCCCTTCGTTATGGATCTCGTCCAAAGGCCCAGGCTGTGGCACTGGGGAGGGACACTCAGACCTGGGAATGGACATCATGATGATCTTCATTAGTCTGAGATTAATGACAAGCATGACATCCAGCTGGCGAGTGCTCAGAGTGGCCTTATGAGAGTAGCAGGAAGTTTCATTAGCCTATCCATTAATGATTTACAGGGGAAGAGTCTTTTGTCTTGGTTCTTTTGACCATAGTAGCCCTTAACTGGATATAGTTTAATCACCTTATAATATATGTAAAATTAAAGTTAAGCAGCACTTTTTCTTATCTAAATAAAAGAAAAATGAATACAATGAATAGGAATTATCTTTTTAGCATCACTTTATATTTGTGGCTTTTTTAAAAACCTGATTTGTTTTACCTAATTATAATTTTTTTCTGAGCTGCAATTATTCACACCTTAACCAGTCAGAGTTCCTGTGAGCTGCTTATATGTCCTTTTGGTAGGATCTCTTGTGTTTTTTAAAGAGTACTTGTTTTTGACATTAACTGGTTATCCCAAAGCTACTTTGATCTCTGCTCTGACAAAATCAATCATCCCTCCAAGGAGACACAGTACACCGTGATACTAAAGACGTACACCGTGATGCTAAAGACCCACACCAGACTTGTGTGGTGGGCAGTACTGGTACTTTGGTCATTTTAGCTAACAGAACTAGAAGATGTATTTTGAAACCAGGAGTTTATTATGATTCCAATTATATTTTAGCATGACTCATAAGATAACTTCTGGATTTTTAACTCTTCCCCTGAATTAAAGTTGTATTCCTTTTTAAAAGTCTGTCTTGTTACCATTTGTAGCATAAAAGACTGCCGCCCAAATTCATCACTTTTCATGACTCTGTGGGCTAGCAACTCAGCTGGGTGGCCCTGCATCATCAGGTGCAGCTGCTTTCAGCTGAAAGCTCAACTGGGACCAGAAGATCAAGGTGGCTTCTAGTCTTCTAGGCTTTCCCAACATAAATCCTCATTTTTCCAAGGCAAGCCCAAGATTTATACCATGGTAGCTGGCTTCCAAGAGGATCTCTGCAAGCCCCCATATGCCAGCTCTTTGGAAGCCTTGCTGTGTCAGAATTGATAATGTCCTATGGGCCCAGGCATGCTCAGCAAGCCCACATCCCTGTGGGAAGAGAGGACCCCAGAACATAAACACCAGGAAGCATGAGGCCATAAAGTCATATTTATTTAACTGGAACACTTAATTTGGATGAACATAACTACTTGTTTATCTGTCAGGAAAAATTAAAATTTGAATTCATAATAACAAGTTATAGAAAAATGCTTGCATAATAAAAATCCTACTTATATTTGAATCTTTAAAAAGTGAACATACAAAATTAGCATAATCACCAATCATCATATTAAGGTTGCAGGCCAAGGGCAAAGTAAAAAAAAAATATTAGTTGTTAAAGCACAAAGACCAGAGATCTTCTAATGAACTTTATTGCTTTTATGTGCAACTTTAAACAAAATCGTTTTTGCTTCTTAAAACACATTTGTGTTTGTTTTTGACATTGCTGGCCATGAAACTCATAGCCTCATGCATTCTAGGCACAGACTCTATCACCGAGCTACAACTCAACCTTATCTTTTCTTCTTTACTGAGCTCCCATTTCCCCCTTCCACCTTTAATTTACCAGATATTTATCCTTGTATCAAACCACATGTTTACATTAACAATATCATTTGCCTTTAAACCTTAGTTTTTAAAACATAAATTTTATTTAAGCACATAATAAGATGGTCTCCATTTTATATTGTTTTAGAATTCCATTTTGACTCATTGTTTTTGAGCATATCCCTTTGTATAGCCTCAGTATCATATATATTTGAATGATGTAACTTATCACAGTCTACTGGTACGATTTTACCAGTTTAAGTGAATTGTAGGGACACTTCTTCCCTTTCTATCCTATTATCCTCCCTCATTCATAGTTGCCTTACATTTTTTCTTTGCACACATTAAGAAC